TCCTATCCGGACTCCGCACAGAATAATCTCTTCTTAGCACGACACAATTAAGAAAAAGAACGCATGTAGCCGACCCCATATAGTAAGGATAAAGACTTATTGTTGTTGGTATAAGTATGTATGAGTTGTATAGTTAGGAATATTATATTCGAAGAGATATCATATTTTATTTTTTTATATAATTAAATTATTTTTTAAAAATTGAAATTAAGTTAGGCCATACTTTTCAATAATAATATCTTGTTTCGATGACCAATTTGGCGCCCTGTTGATGGTAATATCGATGATATTTTTTATATCTATTTGCATTTCTACCCTTTCAAAATCTATGCATATATAATAAATTAAGTACCTCGATAAGATAATGAGATGAAGACAAATATTTAAAACATAAACAAAAGTGGATCATTAATTTCTCTTGCGTGGGCCTTATAATGTCCGTCTCATAAAAAAAATAAAATGAGATCCATTAGATGATGGGCTGAGCTAGTTTGTGTTACATTGCCGGGGTTCTTTTGATTATACTAATTTTGGTTTGAACCCATTTTGACCCATTAACACGGAATTGACTTAGTTTGACCTCCAATTGATCCATTTTGGTTGTATTTAATGGTGTTTGGTTAAAATTGAGTAAGTTTAACATGGAATGACTATATAGAGATATGGAAACATGGATTGAGAAGCAACATTAGTTGTATGTTAAAATTCTTCAAAAACTAACATCATTCCTAATATGTCAACGTAGATCTTATTTTGAGATATCATTATTTGTATTTCTTCATGAAAATAATAATATAGCTAAACAACATGATATTGTTAGTTCCTTTATGAAATTTGATTGCGTCGATCAATCAGGCTGTATTGTTGACTCAGATTTTAATTTTGTCGGTTGAGCTGGACGAGAAGCTTGTTAAAATGTCATATAGGGAATTTTTTGTACAGCTTGAATACGTTGTAAACCTATTGAGGAAGAGAACCTAATGCCACGCTGTTATGGACCCGGTGCCTGGGCACTGCGAGCTTGCTGATTTATTATTATTTTTTTATTGTGTTACTTGTAATTGCATGATGGTTATGTTTTGAGAAGGCTTTGTGCAAATAGAAGATCAATATAATTTCTTCTAGTATGATAGCGGATTTCTTAATTTGACTGTGATTTTGTCTTGTTTTGAAGTTTTTCACATAAATTATATTATTAACATGATAACAAAGTTTGACCCAATGTGATTAGTGGATTTGACCATTAATGCCACTAAAAAAAAGAACTTATTGTTGGCCTTCTTTGGAAGAGAATGATCATTCCTATGTGTACCACACATTAAGAATTTTAATTTTTGATGACCATCAAATTTTAATGAATGAATATAATTAGAGAATTGTGATTATACAAGTTGGTAATGGGAAGAGCTGAGTATAGTGATGATTGTAAAAGCTTATCATGCAAAAAAATGTGACCATTTAATGCAAAAAATATAATAATTTAATTGGCTTATCAAAATTTAGGTTACAACTTTCTTAATACTTTATAAAACAGTTTTTATTACGAACATTTTAATTCAAGAAATTTTTATATATAAAATAATGCCATTTGTATGTTCAGATTATTATTTTTTTTTCAAATCAATATCAAAATAATTGATGAACTAAACCATTAAATATAAATATATGGATATTACTATGTTTTTTAAAAATTAGGCAGGACTAGTTGGCCGTTTGACCGATTTAGGGTGCGTTTGGGACGGCTGCAGCTGTTAGTAAAGCAGGTTATAAAGTTAGTTGGCCGTTTGACCGGTTTAATTGGCTAGAAATCGGTCCTCTGGCCTATTTGATTCAGGTAAAAATTTATTTTTGCATAGAACTAATCAAAATTGGCAGAAATCGACCGTTTAATAGAAGAACAAATCGACTTTTGATAAATCATTCGATTCTAATATAGATCAATTTCTTACCTTTTGTTTTGAAGAAAAGGCTGTAATAAAAAGTTTAGATGTTCTAACAAGTTTGACCCCTTTTGATTTATATTTTTTAAATATTAAGATAAATATTAACATTATTTAAAATTGATTATCTTATAAATAATCAACATATTATATTATTATGTCTAAAATTTTGATTTAGAAATATATTCAAAATATTTAATAATGAAATATCCTGATTTAAAATATTATATATTGATTAGTGAAAATGCTTAATTT